ATTATACATTTGTGGAACTCACCTAAAATACAATAGAAATAGCATACAAAAGGAGCACAAAGTGTAGGAAATCCCTTGCAAAAATGTGCGATTTAGGTACTCTTGCATTTTGTCGATGACTGCCTTCAAGTTGACTTCAACTCATGGTAACCCTAAGTGAATATAACTACATAATTTTAAAAAAAAAAACACTGTATAGCAACTCATGAAAAACTGGAAAGCAATGTATCTGCACTTTTAAACATGTGTATATTATAAAAAGCAAACAGACAGGTGTGTCCGTTTCTAATTATTCCTCACCTTCAAGGCATCATTGCCTTCTCAAGAGCCTCTGTCTGTAAATAACACCAAGCTGGATCTCAAGAACTATTAACAGAAAGAAGGTAGGCATTATGGTGTTTTGAAAAAACTGAGTACATCAACGGATTAAAAAGAAACTTAAAAATGTGATCTATGAGTAAAATCAAAAAGCAGAGTTAAGCAATACCCTAACATTAGGGTTGCCAAAGGGAAAAGCAGAACGGGCTCCTTGACCTTTAATATTTGCATAGGAAATAATTGCAGCAGGTGTTACTTGACAATGAGAAACACCTGCTGAAATTCCTCCTTCTGTACAGCCATTAAAGGTACAGAAACCTTCTCCAGTTTTCCCTCTGGCAACCCTAGATCTTGGCCAACAACTGTACCTACCTACATTGTAAAAGTAACCTCCCAAGCTATGCCTAAATACTCGTTGATGAGAAATAACATTGAAAGAGGGTTGTTGGTCTCAGATCCTTTCTCTGGACCTTCCATAGGCAACTGGTTGGCCACTGTTGCATTCTTATTGTTGTGTGCCTTCAAATCATTCCCGATTTATGGTGACCCTATCACAAGGTTTTCTTGCCACGATTTGTTCTTCTGCCTGTTGACACAGTTGCATATTTAACAGTAAAACTAACAATGTGAGATTCTTAAGAATGAAAGACAGTTAAGATCCATGATTTTTTTGAAGGCAAGAAGGAGACGTAGACTAAGCTCATTTTTGTGTTTGTGTGATCCCGTCTGGTTGACTGAAAGTACTTGAAATAAGTTTAGATACAGGTGTGGAACAATTGTTGTATTGTCAGTGCTTTGTAATTATTGAGTCAGATGAAACTTGTCTTTTGTTTACTTTAGTTCCTGAAACAAACTATGAAGCTTATTCAGCCAAAGCTGTATTCAATTATAAATAATTCATTGATTGAATATCTGTGTATCCCAGGTCCCTAATATTTCATGGGAGGGAGGGACATTTAATGTTGAGCAATTCACTGTAGTTCATTGTCAATCATGAGAGTCTGAGGGTTTTTTTGTTTTGGGGGAGTTATTTTATTTAGTAAGTTTATTTCTGGTTGCATTTGGAAGTCAATTTCTAGGATCTCACTTATCCTGATTTTTTTTCCAGGGGAAAACTATTCTCTGGAGATCTTAAAATTCTGGCAAGTTTTAAGAATGTGGTCTTCCAGATAGTATTTAATATCTAATTGTATTTTACGCTATATGATATTAGAGAGAGGGGGGAAAAACAACTATCTGTCTATGCATTATTATAACCTTATCTTTCTCTTTCTCTTTTTTTTTTCCCCAGTTCACCATGCCATACTTTATAATTTGTTTTTGTGCTCAGTGGCTGAAATAAAGTTATCTATTGATCTTTGTTTTCATGGCCTCCTTGTTTGTCCCATGCAAAAGAAGTCCAGTGGCCCAACTTGGTCTTTCAACACATCTGTTGCACAATCCCAAACCATGACCTAACTTCCGTTCAAGGATCAGGTAGCCAACATTGGGAAATCATGACATAAACCACACTGCTGCCACAGACAAATCAATCTGAAATCTTAAAATATTACATAATTAAGTAAAAGAGCAGAATCAGCTGAAGCAGGACATGGGGAATACAAGTCGATTTGAAACAGGCCTGTTGCATGGAGAGGGCATTATAGCCTTTATTGTTCAGAAGTGGGAAAGGAAAAGGATCGCTTTTTCATTCCTCCTCTCCCTCCTCCTTTTTCTAGTGGTATGTTAACCTTAAAAATATGTTCTGAAGTTAAAGGAACAAGCTGTCATTTTAGACAGGTGTTTCTTGTAAAGAGTCGATCTTTTACAGCAAAGTCTTGCAACGTCAAAGCTGTCAGTCTCAGCGGAGATAAAGCTATAAGGCAGCTGACTGTGCCATTTCTTCTGTTCTTTCTCATGGACTTTCCAAGCCTCCAATCCCAGACTGGGATTTAGGGGGAGCAGAGCATTAAGGGGGTTTCTGTCCCTCACCAATATGTTTAGGCAAAACAGGAGTGTTATTTCATTTGTAAAGCAACTGCATACCCTCCAACATTTCACAGATGAAAACTGGGACATCATAAGATGACAAAAGTTTTTAATGGGGAAGAACACACAAGCTAGGAGGGGATGCATCAGTTTGCTTTTACCTGAGCCAACAAGGAAGGGCAGGTCTTCAACTCCATCTCTCCAATTCCCCCATACTGAGTTAATTTGCACTTTGAACTCAGTTTGTAGTGATTGAAGTAAGCAGGGGACAAAGGGGGAAAGTGAAAGGAAGAGAGAAAAACTGGGACATTTTAAAAGTAGCTGGAAATGTGGGATGACAAATTGAGTTTGCTCCTGGCAAATCTAGACAGTTGGAGGTTATGCTGTTAAGGAGCTGCAAACATGTACTTGTGTATGGAACTAAAATGTTGGAATTCAGTTATGCAATAGCACGCAAACCATTGATTTTGAAGCAAGCTTTCTTTTTTTCTCTTTTGAATGGTTACGTGCATTAAAGGGCTGTCAGAAGAGTTTGAAGGATGTCTGTTTGATAGGAATGTCCAGACCAAGTCTGGCATACAAAGAAAAATAAATGCTAAGAAGGCAACCTTGATGTTGCCTTTCCACAGTTAGTCCCTAGATAGCAGTCTAAGCAGCAGACACAGAATTCCTCTGGTCACAGTCTACTATAGTGAGCTGTATTGTGGGTCTATTAAATCACTGTTCTTATTTTAAAGTGTATTATCTGTACTATAAATTACCAAGTGAATATCATCCAGGCCATGGCATTTCTGATTTCTATGTACGGTTGTGGAAACCTGGGTGGCGAAAAAAGTTGAGAGGAAGAAAATCAATTCATTTGAAAAGTGGTGTTGGAGAAGAATTCTACAGATACCAGGGAACATATTTTTATGCTAAAAAGACAAATGCATGGGTCTTAAAGCAAATGAAGCTGAGTTCTCCAAAAATGACTAAATGGAGACTGTCATTTTTCAAAGATACCATGAGATGACATTGGTAAAGGCAATAATGATCAGTAAAGTGCAATGCAGTGGGAAAAGAGGAGAAGGCACTACAGGTTTATTGATTCAATCAAAGAAGTCACAGCAGGGACCTAGGAGGTCTCTCATTCATAGGGTCACCATACGTTGGAGTCAACTTGATGGCAAACAACAGCAGCAGCAACAACATTTTATATACATCTATAACCTTGTTTGTCATCGTTTTCTGTTTTTGGTTTGTTTTGGGAAAGTACTGGGAGGAAACTCAATTTTCCCAAAGCTTGATTTGCTATCCAAGATGAAAACAGCACAGGAATTAGATTTAACTATTCCTCCTCAAGAGCCAGTTTGGTGTATTGGTTTAAGTGTTGGAGTACAATTCTGGAGTCAAGAGTTCGAATCCCCACTCAGCCATGGAAACTTCCCTTCCCTCACTTAGTCTGATCAAGAATGCTGGAAAACTCAAAAGCCTGCATAATTTGAAGGTGTATTGTTGATTCTAAGAAAAGTATTGTCCACCTGCAGTTTTTGGACTTTCACACATCCACCCCACCTTTCCAATATCCTTTCTGAGATGCAGTGACCAAAACTATATGCAAGAGTATTCAAAGTATGGTTACACTATAGATTTCTATACAGCTAATATGATACCAGTTGTTTCATTTCTGATTCCTCTTCTATTGCCCTCTAGCAGAAGATTTGCCATATGCTAGATGAACAGACTGAATTGCAGAATGTGGAAGATAGCTGCACTGATATAAATGGCAACCTTCTGGTTGATATCTAAACATAGCTGACATTTCAAGGTTTGATTCCTACTTGTACAACAGGCTGGAGACAGAGTATTTGTACAAAATTTGGAAGGGTTTTTAAGATTGTTATCACTTCTCTTTTTTTGGAACTTTTTTTAAAAAATGTAAATGTAATGCATTTGCAAATGGAAATACAGGTTGAGTCTCCCTTATCCAAAATGCTTGGGACCAGAGGTGTTGAGGATTTCAGAATATTTTGGAATTTTGGAATATTTGCATCGACATAATGAGCTATCTTGGAGATGGAACCCGGGTCTAAATACAAAATTCATTTATGATTCATAGACATACACATAGCCTGAGTGTAATTTTATATAATAACTTTAATAATTTTGTGGATGAAACAATATTTGTGCACACTGAAGTATCAAAAAGCAAAGGTGTCACTATCTCAGCCACCCTTGGGTTTTTGAATATCAGTTTTATTGGTGCATCGATAGTGTTAAGTCTCAGCTTCTTTCTTTGCTAGTCTGAGCTGTTTTGACATGTTTATATTTGTATAATTTGTTTATTTTGACTGACTCTGATTATAATTGACAGCAAGACGCAGAATTAACATCGGACAGTGTCTTCGGCTTGTCGGTTGCAATAATGCAAAAGGGATGTGAAAGGCAAAACTCTTTGCAGAAGAAGTGACAAAACCTAGAGAGCTTGGCCTTATGCGCTATGGTGTCACATCCAGTGAGAAAGAGGGGAGGAAAAGAGACTGGAGACCACAGAGGCCTAAAGAGGAGAATATGATTTTGCTGGCAATTAATCCAATGGGAAATATTGTCCTTTCAATAAATGAAGATCAAAAAAAAAGTTTTGAACAAATAGGATGGGATCGATGTTGTGGAGATTACAAAATGGTGGTCTGCCCCTCAGGGAAAGTGAACAAAGCTTTGGTACAACCAATGTTAATGAAAGTTGAAGTCTATTTCTGCAAAATGTCTCTTCCCTCAGGCAGTGCCATCACTAGGGTTGGCATCACCCAGTGTAGTAACTCATGGCATCATCTCCCACCATTGACTTCTTCCCGTACCACGCCACACAGAATCCTTAGTCGTGTGTTGTTGTGCTAATGTTACTCATAAATTGTAATTCCTGTGTATCACTGAATGTAATGGCAATAGTTGTGACATAAACAACTAGCAAAATTCAAGTTATACCTTTACATTATAATAGCAAACACACACCCAAAATGTATTTACCTGTGCATTGTTTCATCTGGTTAAAGTGACAATTTGGTAAGATGTAATGTTTTTCCATGGCTGAGCAGGGGTTTGAACCCTGGTCTCCAGAGTCATAGTCCAATGCTCAAACCAGTATACCACACTGACACACATACACATACACATACATATACATATATGAATAGATGATCCATAATGAAAATTTTTAATCTCTCTCTCTCTCTCATATATATATATATATATATATATATATATATATATATATATATATATTATAAGATGTGTTTTTGTGTGTATGAGAGAGAGAAAGAGACAGACAGAGAGAAAACCTGTTTGATTCTGAAAAAGATGGAAACCAACAATCATGAATGTCAGACTTGTCTCAGTTTGATCTAGGATTGGGGCAGAATGCTGTTTGATCTATAATCGTAAGTGAGTGAATCAGATTTGTATATGCTCCACACTAATAAGCTAAGTGGAATACTCATCCTTTGAACTGTACACTTCTCCAACTTTTGTAATTTCCGAAATAGCCTTGTAAAAGGTGCCTATTATATCATCCAAAATTATTGTCCCTTATACTATCAAAATTATATTTATATTTATTAGGGGAAGTTGCATTCATTTAGAGGAAATTGTGTAGGGAAATAAATGTGAACTTTTTACTCTGCTAATTCACAGACTGGTGTTGAAATTGGACAAAACAGGCTTATGACTGAACACAGACAAAATAGACACAGACAGGAAATAGAGTGTTTTGTCCTAGTGTTGGCATCTATTTATTTACATATATAACTTGGTTCTAAACAGGCTTTCTAACTCTCCCTCTCTGATGCTTTCCCATCTCCAGGCACCATTAAAGAGAGGATCTTAAATGTTTGGCTTACAGTCAGTGAAAAGTGTTGCTATAAACAGACAAAAAAGCTGCACAATTTCCCAGACCATCCCACCAGTAAGGCAAGCCATTCTGCTGTGCTTTGGCAGCCCATATGGTCCACAGCATCACACATTTTATCAGCACCTAAGCAAATGGTAATGCTAGCTCCCCTTTGCATGTAGACAATGCAGCACATGTCTGGAAAAGTTGGGTGATTTTCTTCTGTTTCTCTGCCATCCCTCCTATTCAGCTTAGGTTCATATTCCCATCACCAACATCTTAGGTACAATCAGGGCATGGCAGTTCTTTGGGACAAATGGCAAGTTACCTGTAATTATTTCCCTTTCTCAAAAATGTATATTACTATATTACCCTGTAGTTGTAAATTGCTGTCAAATCAACTTCAACTTATGGTGACCCTATCAGTGAGAGATCTCCAAGGCATCATATTATGAATAGCCTTGCTAAGGTCTTGAAAACTTTGGGCTGTTGCTTGCTTGACTGACCTTGATCTACCTATTGAGTGTCCTCTGGCCTTGGAGTCTCACCTTCCGGCACTATCTCTTCCTTCATTTTGGATAGTGTCATCATAGGCTTTTCACTTTATAAGATTTTAAAAAGTGGTCTACCATGCCTCCTTTTATGCAATACTAACAAGTGCCACAGGTGCAAACAGGGTTCCAGAAAGCAAGGAGCACTAGGAACCACATTGCAAACATACAATAGCTAATGGAGTGCACCAAGGTATTCCAGAAGGAAAAAATCAGCATGTACTTTATAGATTATAGCAAAGCCTAGATCATGAAAAGCTATGGATGCCTCTTAAAGACATGGGAATGCCACTGCATTTGATAGTCCTAATGAGAAATATGTACTTAAGACAAAAAGCTATGGTTAGAACAGAATATGGAGAGATAGAATGGTTCACCACTAGCAAAGGGGTCAGGCAATTCTATGACCCTGTTTGTTCAACTTGTGTGCAGAAAATATTATGAGAAGAGCAAGTTTAGACACGGAAGAAGGAGGAGTGAAGATAGGAAGAAGCAACATCATCAAACTAAGATATATGGATGACGCCATACTACTATCAAAAAAGCCCATCACAATTATACTAAAACAGTTATATTAAGGGAGATCAAAGAAGAAAGTGCAAAGGCAGGCTTGCTGCTGAATATAAAGAAAACAAAAATAATTGCCACAAAGGATCTGTATAAATTCAACCTAGATAATGAGGAAATCAAATTAGTGAAAGAGTTCCCATACCTTGGAACTCTTGAACCTCCATTTTGATCACACATTGGTCAAAATGGAGATTGCAGACAAGAAATCAGAAGAAGACTAGGAATGGTAAAGGTAGCTATGAAAGAATTAGATAAGATCCTAAAGTGTAAAGGGCTTAACTTCCTTCTATGAACAGAAGCAAACTGGACTGGCAGCTAAATCTTCTCCACCATTCAGGAGACCATAGGTAGTTTACACACTCAGGAAAGGTTGTGTTGTGTACACAGCTCTACACTATCTTCCAACAGAGGGTGAGAAATGTGTGGTAGGGATACAATTCTTTACTAAGGTTCTTGTCAAAAGGAGCAATGAGTAATTTTAGCAGTTTTCCCACTGTGAAAATGTTTTTGAAGTATTCTAGTGTATACGCAATGTCACACGTATTCTGTACAAAATTCACATGTGGTTGTTTCCAAAAGAAAACAGAATTTTCTTTACAGGAAACAGATTTTTATATGTATATAAAGATAATATTTCTGCATAGAAATATTATTTCCTGCCCATAAAATGTTGCTTCTTGCACAAAAGAACCACATACAAATTTTGTGCCAAATAAGTCGTGAACCACGAAGATTTGTCTCAGAGCTGGATTCTTCTTGGTAGGTTTTTTGTTTTATTTTTTGACAACTTTTAGAATATTTTCAAATATTCTTTCAAATAGTCTATTGGGTTCCCCTCATTGTATGTCAACACAGGGCCATCCCTCCAGGCAGAAAAGTCTTTTACAACTTCTGCTATTCGTCTCTTATAGCCAGAGATGTGAAAAATTGAACCCTCTGCTGGCAAAGCATATGCTTCCCCATTGAGCTACAGATCCTCATTGCCAACCATCATAGTGAGATATTGATGTGCTCTTCTAGTCTTATGAAATGATATGAAGCCATGCAATGTGTAAGACATGGCAGAGCTAGCTCTTCAGAGACAGATCAAGGATGATGTCTTGAGTTCTCTAGGGAACAGCAAGATCAAAATAAAGTCTACAAACCAAAGGTGGACAAAGTGCAGCCCATGGGCCACAGGTAATGGGGGCAAAGATTCCACACAAAAAAAGTGATTTTACACTTTTACCCTGGATACAGTAATTTTGCAAAATTTTGCCCTTCAGGCTTGCCTGATCCCCCTTCGTCCCAAAGAAAAATACATTGACTTCCAGCCTTTTCTGGGTTAGATTTCTCCCCATTGTCAAATGTTTTTGAACATTTTTAGGACTGGTGCAGCCTAAAATGCATTCTAGGTGTGGAAAATTGATCCCTTTGAAGTTGCCTGTCTCTGACACAAAGGAAAGTTCTGTCCAAAAGTTCTCCCAAAAGTTCTACAGGTTATAAACCTTTCAGTCATTGACAATCTTGAGTTTACTTTAAAAATAAACTGAATCTAACTAAGTCCCTCACTTGGAACATCCCTTAAAGAACAGATCACACTATACATAGAAAACTTCATATCACCCAGTTTGTGATAGGAAAACTGATGGCAGATTGCATCTCTAAGTAAGACCCAAATGCCTTTTGGCTGAAGTTTCTCTTCAAAGAATGGAAAGCTTTCTATGTGGCTCTCTATTGCCATCTTGTGAGGAAATGTTCCAAGCATAGAAAATACTGCTTGCTGTACAACGAAATCAGCATATCACTCAATTCATTGTGATGCAAAACACTATTGTTTAGAGTTACAACAAGGGAAGGAGGAGAAAGTGAGTTGGTCTGAATAGGATGCATTGGCTGTAGGCAGGAGATGCCCAAGTCAGAGCTCCCAGCCACAGTCATGATATCTATCTGTACCAAAAGCCCAAGCTATTTGGGCACCTTGCACTGAAAATTCTAGGCACCTTATCTTAGTTTAAAAATAAATAATATGTATACAAAATAAACGTCAGTTTGCTGCCCTTTCTTATTAATGTATTCTATTTATATCACATTTTCTCTCAAAAACAGGACAGAAGGACGCTCACATTGAATAAAAACAACATTTAAAACAGAAAACAAGAATCTGATTTTTGGAATCTTGGTTCACAACCCAAAAAAGAAAATTTCTGGTCCCAAAAAATTGGCTAGGACTGGGCTTTGCTGAATTGTGCTTTACTTTCTCACAGGGTTTGATTATTTGTTGTTTTTAATAGCAATGTAGTTGTTTTTTTTTTTAAATGGATACTTTATATTTTTTTTAACTTTTGTATTTGGTATATATATATATATATATATATATATATATATATATATATATATATATATATATGGCTCTTTTAACTGTTGGAAGTTGCCTTGACTCCCAGACTGGTTAAAAAGGATGATGATGATGATGATGATGATATAAGAACCCAATAAAATGAAAGTCAAGTTTAAAACAGCATAAAATATTTTTAAACACAATTTAAAAATGTATCACTATGGAAAATACAGCACCCATGTGGTAACAAGCCTCTACATCAGTGTCCCATTGGTTACTCTTAATTTTAAAAACAACAACAACAACAACAACAACATGTTGAGAACCCCAAACTCCTGCCTGAATCAATGGTCTGCCTCATCTGCCTAATGGTAAGGGCAGTTTTCTAACTACAAGACTTATGAGTTGAGACATACCTTACTGCAAGACCTTGTGAGTTGAGTTTTCTCATCAAAGATGAGAAAAAAATGTAAATATTCTTTATGTCCTAAACAAAACAGGGCTAGGGAAGTAAAATGTGCCATCCTGGTATGATGGCTAAACTGAGGAGTATGAACATGCTAGGCTTGTTAGATCTGGCCAAGACCATCACAGGTTATGATGCATAATTTTACACTCCAGCTTGTCAATATCCCATATGAACTGTGGTATCCAGAACTGGACGTAGTATTCCAGGTGAGTTCTAACCAAAACAGAAGAGATTGGTACTATTGTTTCCCTCGATCCAGACACTATATGCCTATTGATGCTGCCTAGAATCACATTGGTTTTCTTAATGGCTGCATCACACTGTTGACTCATGTTCAGTTGTGATCTACTAAGACTCCTA